GTCTGCTCATGTGGAGGGAAGGTCTCCAGGAGCGCTGGCGTCTGGTGGTGCCTGCATCCCTGCGATACGAGTTGATTAGAACTCTCCATTGTGACACGCTATTACATCTGGGTGTGCAGAAGACCTTGTTGACGTTGCAACGTCATTATTTTTGGCACGGCATGGCGACGGATGTCGTGGGGCACGTCCGCGCGTGCCCTGACTGTGCCCGGCGTAAGCCACCTAAACATCCTTATGTGCCGCCCTTACAGTCAATTCAGGTGTCTCGGGTTAATGAATTGGTGGCACTGGACATTTTGGGACCTTTCCCACCATCGGCGAGGGGTAATAAATATTTGCTGGTCGGGGTTGAGTACCTCTCCCGTTGGCCAATGGCCTGGCCGTTGCCCGACCAATCGGCCGCGGCCATTACCGACGCCTTTTTGTTCGGATACGTTATGGACAAGGGTGCGCCGGAGAGACTCCTCACGGACCAGGGCCGAAATTTCTCGTCTAAATTATTGGCGGAAGTGTGTGCGGGCCTAGGGACTTAGAAGGTCCGGACATCCCCATACCATCCGCAAACGGATGGTATGGTTGAGCGGCTAAACCGGACATTGTCTGCCATGCTGTGCCATACGGTGAGTGAGCAACAATCGGATTGGGACCTGCACATCCCGGGGGTGCTTTCGGCGTACAGGATGACTCCTCATGCGGCTACGGGTTATTCGCCGTTTTACCTTATGTATGGTCGGGAAAACGTGCCGCCGATGGATGTGCAGATGGGAACCGGTGTAAGGGGACCTTGTAAACCACTTCCTGATTACATTCGGGACACTGTTCGCCGGGTCTCGGAGGCGCGGGAGAGTGCCCGTGTGGCTACGGCCAAAGCTCAAGCCCAGAATGAGAGGTATGCACGGCGTTCCAAGGGGGAATGCCCCTGGAAGGTTGGGGACCTGGCCTGGCTCCATTGCCCGCAGGTGCGGCCGGGTACCTCTCCTAAATTTCACAAACCTTGGCAAGGGCCCGTCCGCCTCATTGAGGTTCCTAACCCTCAGTCGGCGCGTGTTCAGATTGGTTCTCGCCACTGGTTTGTTCACACGTCGCGCTTGAAACCGTATGTTGCTCCCCTACATGATGCTTCATCTCCCAATGTTGCCTTGCCGGGGTCTGTTGCTGCCGACTCTCCCCCGCCTGCGTCCATTGATCTTGCTAGAGCGCCTGTCATACCTGTTCCAGGCAGGCCGGCCTTGACACCAGAGGGGACGAGGCGCCCTGCTCGGAGGGTGCCTGCCAGATCTGCGGGAACTTCGAGCCCTGCAGCCCTTCCGACCCCGCTGCAGACACATCCGCGGGACACGCCCGGGACTGATCCTTCAGGGACACGGGACGTTGGTGGACTTCCAACAGCGACAGGGGGATTTCACCCTGTCGCTCCTCAAACTCCATCACGTTCCCGTTCCGCGGGTGGGCCGCCGACCGTCCGGGACGGGCCGGCGACCCGCACACGTTCTAAATCCCTTGTGTTTCGTTGATTGTTACGTTGCATTATTGCTCTTACTGTGTATTTATTGCCTGCTTCTGCTACGTTACTTGATTATTATGTTGTGTTGATTGTTCCTACTGTTATATTGCATGCTTGGTGTCCTTTGGTGTGTCAGGGTCGGTTTCGCCCGCATTACTGTTGGTGTTGTTCAGCCAAGGTCGGCTGGGTTTTTCTCCACGGGGGAGGGTGGTGTAATGCGGGCGCGGGCGACCTCCCGGATGTGACGTCACGGAGAGGTGGAGTTAGGTGACGTGGGAGCAAGGTTAAGGTTCTTAAGAGATGAGACCGGAAGAGGAGGGGGGAGAGAGTGAGACTGGACCAGAGTAAGGCCACGTTGGGCGAAGCCAGGAGGAGTGGCACGGGCGGCCAGCGGTGGCCAGCTAAGGGAGCAGCCAGCGGAGCTGCGAGAGAAGACAGCGGTGGGGCTGCTGGAGAGAAGGCGGTCGAGGAGCTGCAGTGAACACAGCCGGCGAGGCTGTGTGTGGGAGAGGCTACGAGAGCGACGAGAGGAGAGAGAGGCTGCGAGAGCGACGAGAGGAGAAACTGCAGGAGAGCAGCCAGTGGGGGCTGCGTGAGGGTAACAGCCAGCAAGGCTACGAGAACAACGGGAGACCAACAGAGGAACTGTTGGCGTGACGGGGTTAACAGCAGTATCAGTGTCGGTATAGAAGTCTTATAGAAGGACAGCCGTGTGGGTTACGAGGAAGAACCGAATAAAGGACACCAAGCCAGACTTCGTGGTCGAGTCCTTTATTACATAGATATCCTCTCCTGTAGTTGTTCCTTTGATGCTTTGCAGTGCAGCAAGCTCTTCTGTGACTTCGAAATAGTCATTCGTCCCACGAATAAAAATTAAAAGTTGTGCAGAATCACGAACATCATTGCTTTCGTCGAGTGCCAACGAAAAATAGGAAAGTTTTTTTGTGGAGTTTTGCAAATGCTGATGCAAATTGTCTCCCATTTCTTCAATCCTCCGTGTAATTGTAGGTCCTGAAAGACTCACTGTACTAAATAAATCGGCCTTCTCTGGATACATCTCTTTGGCAACAGAAAGAAGGCATTCTTTAACAAATTCTCCCTCCACGAATGGTCTGCCAGTGCACGCTATTAGCTTGGCAACTTGAAAACTTGCTCGCAGTGATGAAATATTTAGCTGCTTCTGCTTCACAAAAGTATTTTGCTGATTTGTTAATGTATTTTATCTTTTCTCACTTCTCCGACCAAACAATCATATTTATCTTTATGTTGAGTTTCATAGTGTCGACGTAAATTGTATTCTTTGAACACAGACACTATATTCTGGCATATCAGACACATCGCTCTTTCCTTGTACTGCATGAAAAAGTAATCATAAGTCCACTGTTCTTTGAATATCCTACACTCCGAGTGCATTTTTCTCTTTCTTGACATCATTGTTTCCTAGGGAGTCAAAATTGATATTAGTAAAATACCAATATTTATACAGCGCTACAAAAACAATATACCAGCAATAACTTTGCCCGCACAGAGACATACTGTACAGACTGTACTGCCCATCAATGCAGTCTGATTGGGGGGAACTCCGCCCCCTCTCACTCTTCCACCAATGACCGTCCTTCTCATGCAGAAAAAAAGTAACAGACAGGCAGCGGCGGCAAAAACACCCGGCGGGCCGGATAAATGTCCTCGGCGGGCCGCATGTGGCCCGCGGGCCGTAGTTTGAGGACCCCTGCTCTAAATGCATGATGTTGATTCTAAATGTGGAGGGAAAAACCGGAGGACCCGCAGAAAAATCCACGCAGCCTCGGGCAGAGAGATGCACAAACTCCAAATAAACAGCAGGCGTCTGGGTTGGGATCGAACCCACGACCTCCTGCATACCAGGCGAGGGAGTTAACATCTCACCACCGCAATACCCATTGTCGATGTCTCAAAAGAGGCATCGACCCACGGAGTTCCACCGCTACCCCTCCAGTCCCACCAATTGGCCCAGCTGTGACCATAGCAGAGCTCCCATCTCCCGGTCAGTAATGTGAGGGTTCAAATCTCGGTACTAAGTCGCCTTGGCCCAGTGTTCTAAAGGGGCCAACGAAACAAGTACCACTCATTGGGAAGTCAACAGTGGTGTTTTGCAGAGAGAATGAATGGTCTCTATCATCGGAATGTAGAATTTTCCTGGCCCCTATTAGAGATGAGCACTTCCCAGCGATCGTTTGAGTGCGGAGAAACTGAACTTAGTTTCTCCTGTCAACGGTGACTTCATGGCCAGGAATTTCCCTTTGAGTTAATGGCTCACCTCGGCTGTGTGCTTCGAGCTGGGGTTTGTGGATCACACGTTACACCCGCATGCAGGTCAATGGTTGTCTTAAGCAAAGTACAGAAAGTTATTGTAGTCAAAGTCTTACTCGGAGAGCAACTGACCATCAAGAGTCTTGAGATTCAGACCCTTTAGGATAAAGAACCAGTGTTAACATAATGGGTGTTGGCACATTTGTTACCACACTGCACTGTAACATCCGGGGCAAGTGAAACCTGACCCAGTCCTGTCCTCCCCCTTACAGCAGCGTGAGTTTGCATGGCAGCCAGGTGAGCTCACGACCCGTCTTGCCCACAGCAACCTCCGTCTTGCTGTGTGAGGGCATATAAAGAGTAATAATTACTTTTACGAGCGGAACGCTCGGAGGTTGCTGGGTGGCAAACGACTGAGCTGTGCATTCTGGGTTAAAGCTCAAATTGGGTTTCTCGAATTTCACCCCCCGGAATATTAAATTATGTATTCGTCTGTTGTTCTACCCTGGTCCCAAAACCAGCCCTTTATGGTCATAACCCTTATAATGATAATGATGACAAGTCAACAACTCAGCGGTGCGGAGCCAAGCTCAGGGCTGCTCGAAATCCTGACCCAACACAGAGAGGCCTTTAGATGTTTCGTGAAAGTAGTCCGAGTGCGTTTGATGTTACGGATGTGCAAAGGGATAGAGTTCCACACCGAGGGGGTGACTGCAGAGAACCGACATGAGGCTGTAACAGTATAGTGTAGTGTATAGCAGTATATAGTAGTGTAGTGTATAATAATGAAGAGTATAGTGTAGTGTAGCTTATCGTGTAGCGTATAGTGGCGTGAGGTTGTAACAGTTCGAGACGTTAACCCTGAGATGAACTTGGTAGACGTGAAGTTGCCGCAGAGTTGTAAATAGCAGGTGCCCAGACCTAATGGTCACCTGCCTTTCCACGAGGAATAAACTGTCAGGGGTTACATGGGGTGAGTCCGCAGATGTCCCATCTTCACATATGTATCCTCAAAAATAACCTAGCAGTCATAAAATTTCTATAAAAGGCACATGAACAACATCTATTTAGACAAACTGCCAATATTTGCGGTAGGGACATTTAATTAAGCCAGCAACACACTCCAACAGCTCAGCTGTGTTTGAATCGTTGATGGGAATCCGAAGACATGACAAATGAAATCTCTTCAAACCTTTGTTTCCCTTAGACTGAAGCAGCTCCTTGGGCACGGCAGGGTGATGAAGCCGGAGTTTGTGATGGACTGCGTAGGCCAAGATGACTGCCACACACAGCTGGAAGCAGGTCCTGGACTCAGGCCATCACCCAGAGTCACAGACGGGCCACCTAAGGCTCCCACGTGGGGTGAGCTATAGGGAAACGCAGGGACACGACACATCGCACTCCGCATTTCACGCCACGTGAGGGTCTGTCTCGGCAAGGGCTTTTTGAACAACGGCTCTGATCAATTTGGGACCTACAAACGCACACACCACAACCACTCCCAGTGACGCACCACAAGGAAACCGAGCTGCACACCTTTTAAAATAAGCTTATTTTAACCAAGTGAAGAAAAACATTTTTTGGATAAATCAAGTGCTATGAACCTAAATTTACTGAGTAAAAGATATAACTAAATAAAATAATGTTTGGTTTCAATTAACCCCTTCCTGTTCCGAGTCGTCTGCAAGTTGCAGGGTGTGAGTGTCCCGTTCACCGCTGAATCTCGGACGCGTAAGCGGGTGTCGCCATTGTTTTTAAAGACATTGTACTCACCGCAGAGAACCATAGCGACACGGCCACTCTATGATAGCTGGCGCCAAACTGTGCCACACGCCCTCCTGCATGGACTTGTACTACAAGTGTAATATAGCTCTCAGAGACACCGTCTTGTCTTCTGTATATTTATTAAGAATAAAGTCCAATGACAACTCAACACGTAACTGCGAGTGACTCTGTACACTTGGGTAGTGACACAACTCTATTCTGAGAGAACATAGCTTCCATTCTCAAGACAACTCGCAGACGATGGAGACGACCCGATCCAAGGCAACGACGACGACGGCAGCTCCCCACACGAAGCAGCCCCAAGCCTCCGCTCGCGCTCGGTCCGGCCGCACCTGGCCCTGCCGATCACCGCCCTTATTACACTTTCCCGCCATTGGCCCTCTATCCTACATTATATATTATTTATTATAACGCGATTTTTCCACAACGCGGCGTTCTTCAGGAACGCATCGACCACGGCCGCCGCGTTACGGAAGAACAAGAGCGCATGCCAATTCCACCCCGTTGCAACGGCTTGCATGCAGGCCACGTCGCGAGGCCGAACCCCAGAACGCTGGAGCTCTGCGCCTGCGCCGCCCTCGACGCGTGCGCCACGCGAGGCCTCCCAGCCACGTCGGCCGCCACCCTCGTGGCTCGGGCCTTCGCGGGCGAGGGCCAGGGCTTCAGGGTGCGGCCGGGACGGAGCGACGGCGGCGGCGGCGACTCCGCACCAAGCCCTGCGTGCGCAGCCTCCCTCATGCCCGACCGGTGGGTTCACGAAAACGTGCGAACGGGGCTGCCGCCTGACCCCGACGCCCGGACCTAAACCCAGATGCACGTTTCCTCAGCCCAGGTCTTATCAACACCGCGCGGGGTACCGTGATGTGGAGAAATTCTCCTGTTTTGGTCTTAAATAGAGGGATAAATGTGATGTAAATGTTGGGGGTTTACTCTCCAACACCGGTGCGCTGAACTAGTAACCAACTGGCATGTTTTGTTGACGTGACAAACCTTACTAATAGACTGTCTGGTGGTGGCAGGTTTAACAACATTTATTCTTAAGCGATCTAACCCAAAAAAACCTCGATTATGGATAATATTGGTCGCGAAAGCCTATGAGTTAAAGCTCTACCGTAATGGAGTTCAGAATCAAAAATATGTATTCATACTGCAGGAATCCGATGAGCTATGAAGCTCTTTTTCACAGATATCCAGTGAGGGGCACAGGGTAAGAATGTTACAACAACAAACAATACAAGACACAATAGTAGTGCAAAGTACAGGAAAGTCAAACAAATCACCCAAACACAAATAAAACTAAACCATCCCCATCCTACCAGGCAAAGCCCACTGAAGTATTACCTAATTTTTCAGAAGCAACCTGCCCACAAATGATAGCTCAACAAAGTGGCTTATCACGTGGAAATTTATAGCAGCAAAATAATCTATTGACAGCAGAGGAAGGATATTTTGTGAAGTGAGAGCTTTTCATCGGGGGATGTTGTCAATCGCAGAGAAGAAGGGCGGTGGCTTGGACAGTTGGAGGGAGTCGGCAGTTCCTGTACTTTGCAGGACTATCGTGTTTTTGTGTTGTTTGTTGTTGCCACGTTCTTACCCACCCCTACTGGACATCTGTGAAAAAGAGCTTTATAGCTCATCGGATTCCTACAGTATAAGTAAATATTCTGCTTTTGTCACAACTTATGTTCCCCAATCTCGTACATCTCGAGATAGTTATGTTCCTATTGGACCGTAGTATTTGACAAAATTGTATAAAATACCCCGTCGTAGTAAAGTTAAATTCCCACAGCAGACTCCTTCATGGCCGCCAATAAATGCAAAACCCTAATGCACGTGTAATGACGACTTGACACACTTCTCTTGAGATGGCACTTTATTGAAGACACGTTCACTTGACATCAGGTGGAGACCCCCACTGCAACAGCCCTGAGTCTCCCGCGCATCTCCCTTATATACCAACACGAGGCCACGCCCCCCTTCTTGATCATTCTCGCTGACTCTGGACGCTCGCTCCACCGGCAAACTCTACCGTCCTCTTCCGTCACCTGACCACGCTCCCATTCTCCAATTCTCGAACATTCCTGTAGCCACCAGTCCCTTCGCACTCACAACTGACTTCCCTGTCATTACCTCCTGTGGCCACTAGTCCCCTCACACCGCATGCAGACGTTTGAATCTGTTCTGCTACAAATCACGTTGTGCTTTGTCTCCGTATGTCTCCTTCTCTTTGCGTGTCTCCTTGTAGGCAGCTGCCCCACGCTGATCTGGTGGTGGCGTGGGCGACAGAGATGCCCCTGTCTCTCTGGCTGGGTGGGCACCCATCGGCGCAGGAGCTTCTGCTCTCTGCTCTGCAAGGGGATGGAAGTGGTGGTGGTCAGGTCTGATGTGCGCCGAGAGAGCAGGCGAGGGTGAGAGTGCGGAGGAGCGGAGCACGTGGATAAAAACACGCACTCATATAACTGGTTCTGAACGGAGTAGGTGGATAAAAATGCACTCGCGTGGCCAGGCTGCGAAGCGATACAGAGTTCCTTTGTAAGGCACGCAGTCATAATGAGGGGGACTACTGCAGCACGCTGCTTCGGCAGATTCAGTGAAATTTGCACTCATAATTATGGATGCTATGAAGTTGCGCACGATGAGGAAGGGGATGGGGTGCAGGTTCGATAAACAATTCCCATCAGCTGCGCTCGGTCACTGAAGCACATGAGACCCATGCTGCCAGCCCCGGTCGAACGGGTTTGGCCAATTCAGCGACTGGCATCAAGAGCCCAAACGCGCTTATCTGAAACTCAGTGGACTCTACAAGAGCAGGCCGTAGCCCAGGCAATAACATGACAGTGCATGTTGTATGAACGAGGTCTCGTTGCAAGATCACAGCACACTCCGTCACATTCTGCGGTCCAGGTTAGGGATGGTGGAATATGTTTAGCACATTGGCTTTTGCGACCAATATTATCCATAAAAAAATTTCTTTTTCTGGCTGTCACTTGACGAGGCTGGTTTTTGTAATTGTAGCGACTGTACTTGTCACTGTACGGTGTCGGGCTTGCGAAGTCACGGCCGGTAATGTGATTACGGGCAGCCTGGGTTATGGGCTGCAGTACCAACTCTAGCGGTGGTTGGGTGAGCGCTGGTTAGCGTAGAGGCACCGCAAGCAATGTGCGGTGCCGGCTCCCAGCGAGGGAGCGAGAGGGAGTGTCAGCCAGCCAGGGTTACTCTGGGGCACGACACTCTGGCTGACCTGTTGTCACGTGACCGGACGATACTGGAGGGGGGGGGCCACCGGTGGACGGGGGCCGAGGCGCGGTCACGTGGTCCCGAGGGGCTGTCGGGAACATTCGAGAAGGAGCTCGAGAAGCCTGGAAGGTGGGCGGGGCTAAGGGCGGAGCTGAGGGCGGAGCCAGCCCCAGCCCGGGGCATCTAACGAGAGCTATGCGAGGAGCTCGAGGTTCTTTATGTGTTGGTGTTCGAAGATCCACGTCGGGGAGAAGAAGCCTCTAGCCATGCGGTCCGGGACCCAGTTTGTGGTCCGGACCGGGATAGCGACCCGTGTCTAGTTCTGCGGTAGCGTGGTTAGATGGTCATTCAAGACCAGTGGCGGCTCCTGCAAAATCTCTCAGGGGGGGCAAATGTCTGGATGATTGATAAGGATAAGGTCCACCCATGCAATTGATAAATTAACAGCTTAAGCATGTAAAGGCAACTTCACTTCTTTAATATTAATGAAAAATAAAGTGACTCTTACAATACATCTTGTTTGTTTCTATACTCACTATTAAAACAAACCACTCAAGTTTATTTTATTAAAGATTCCACTAGATTTTGATTTAAAACTTTCGTGACTGCAGGGATTCATCTTCTTGGTTCTTTCGGTAAAGTCACGTAGAAGGGAAGTAATAAAATAATAAAAATAAAACATAATAAAATTATTCTCACGACGTTTCGGCCACAACGCAAGCAGCCGTCTTCAGGTGAAAACCAGGTCCGTCGAGGCGACAGAGTCTGAATGAAACAGCACACGAGCTTGGAGCATATATATAAGCTGGGCGCCTTGACAAAGGAATTTGCATATCAAGAGGAATTTAGCATATTTATGGGAAATGCAGGAATGTGATTAGTACTGCATATGCATGTGCATTATGCAGGATTAACAGCATCAAAGGGAGCTGCAGTTGCTGCTGCTGCTGCAGTTGCTGCTGCTGCTGCAGTTGCTGCTGCTGCAGTTGCTGCTGCTGCAGTTGCTGCTGCTGCAGTTGCTGCTGCTGCAGTTGCTGCTGCTGCTGCAGTTGCTGCCTTATCCATTTTAATATAACACTATGTATTATTCTACCCACCCTAATGTGTATCACACTGCTATATATTTACTATACAATTACGACACCATACATTACTCTGCACACTGCACCATGCCAGTGAGTGGAACGTTGTGGCCGAAACGTCGTGAGAATAACTTGCGTTGTGGCCGAAACGTCGTGAGAATAATTTTATTATGTTTTATTTTTATTATTTTATTACTTCCCTTCTACGTGACTTTACCGAAAGAACCAAGAAGAAGATTCCACTAGGTGGCGATATATTATATTGTTGGATGAAACGTGCTTGCGTATGATGACGTAAGCACGTATGATGACGTTAGCACGTATGATGACGTAAGCACGTTAGGGCTCGCCCTCCCGGAAGCCATAGAAAATGCATTGGAGCGCCCCCGTTCGAAAAAAACATCTTTCAATGTAAGTCTATGGGACCACTCGGGGCGATTCTCAGCCGGAGTGAAATCGCCCAAAAAGAGGCGGTACTCCACAGAACGTGACATGACGCTGATTGGACTATATCCAGAGGCTGCAGTGACGGCTAGCGTGACTCTGTGGTTCAATGACATTGGTGGTGCGTCGCCCAATCGCCCTAATGAAGAAACCGCCCCTGTTCAAGACCCGAGCGTAGGTTGTGTTATGTTACGTACTGTTATGTGAATAAAGTGTTGCTTCCAAGATAACATTTGCGACTCAGTTGGACTCACTACATAATTACCAGTGAAACGTCACGGTACTTGGAATTGTAAATGTTGTGGGTTTACTCTCCAACACACCGATGTGCTGAGCTAGTAACTAATTAGCACGTTTTGATTACTTGACAAACCTTACTCATGGATGGAATCTGCGAATCTGCAGGTCCTAAGTAGCCTCTCGTGTGAGGAATGAGGGGGTGAAGATTGGGTGGTCATCACCGCTGATACTTTGAATGCCACCGGACTTGGCCATCGCTTCTTTCCTCCTGCCGGATCCCGCAACACCCAACCTGCCGAACCGCCCTTCACAGTCTCAGCTCCACCATGTGGCCTTTAAATCTTATCCAGTGGAGTGCTATACTGCAGGTGCCACTCCCTGATGTCCAGAGACCTTGAGGGATAGTTCAAGGAGGGTCAAACTACCCACGGCCTCGGATCAGCTCCGGAGGGGGGGAATGCCGTCTGCGCGTGCAGCACAACCACTCTGCGAGTTCCCCCTCCCGCCGATGGCACTCCGCACCACGTCAAGTGCTGGAGCATCAGATGACGCGTGCCTGAGCAGGTGCAGTGGCAGATGCCTGCGTGTCCGAATCGGGGCACGGTTCAGCTGGCGGGTGGAAAACCGAACCCTGCCAACAGAAATACATCTCGGTAACGATAGCACGACCCTAGGCCATTTTTATAGCGCAATGCTATCACAGCAGGGGGCGACGTTGGTTAGTCTCGTGCCAAACGTGTAATTTCCAGGAAATTTTTCAAATTTGGACAATTCCGGCACACTATGGGCCCCACTCATTTCCCATGATGCCAGGGGATCTTTAACGTCTGCCACGAAGCAGACGGCGCGTGGTAGCATTCTAGTCCATAAACCCCCAGCAATAGCTGGGGCGGCCTGCTGGATGCAAACCGCGAACCTCTGCGGCGATGTGCAACCGCTGGGCTGCGTTGCTGCCCCCAACTGAGCAGAGGCCGCCAAAAGCGCGATACGGGCGCCGCCAAAAATAGAGCAGATGTACATTTTAAGCAAAACTCTTTTTAAAAAAAAGAGGTTCTTTTAAAAGCAAAACAACTTTTATTGACAGTTCAAGGACACTAACACGGCTCCGGTGTACTTGTGGAATGGCACGCGACCGCGGCGACCGCTTAAAACCCTCTCAGCCGACCAGCACTCGACACAGCGACTCCCCCGCGATGCGCCACACGGAGCGCAAGGAAACCCCCAGGAAGGGTACTAAATGTCTCGCGTTTTAAAAGTCGCGCTCACACCACCACGTTCTCCCTAAAAAAGTGACCCGAGGGTGGCGACGGTGGAAATGGGAAAACAATTTCGAGTACAAAAATTGGCGAGAGAAAACCAGGCTCCGAGTGCACGAAGAGGCGTGGGGGGGGGGGGGGGTGGGAGGTCGGGAGGGCACGGAGGAACGCCTCCGGGCTGTCGCTGTTTGAGACGGAGAGCGGCGAACGGCACTGTGGATTTCTTTTTACAGACGTTCCCAATTTTAGGAATTGTTGTAAATACATAAGGACAAAAAATGAGCGAAGAGCATTTACGCCATCACCAAACCATACTTCTGCACAGATAGGCAAGCAAGGTCACATGTGGAATTCTTGGTGAAAAAATATTCGAGCTTTGGAATATACCGTATTGTAAAGCTGGGAGCCTCGACACATAGTCTGTGTGGTCCACCAACCCTTGCCTCCACCGTGCTGGACCTCAGGCGCGTCACCACACCCCACACCTCTGATTAGCACGGGCTACGTACGGTGCAAAAGAAGTTCAACATACGTATATACAGATTTAGTTCATCATCAAATTACCGTTTCAGTGCATCCCCCTCGTGTTTGTCAGAACAAGGTAAAGCAGCAGCATACCTATGAATGCCATGACGTGCTTTTGAGGCCCAGGGAGGTCGAAACTAATCCGGGGCTTCCCTTATTTCAATATACATTAATATGGCCCAATGGGGATCAGAATTTATATTATAACCAAACCCCATGCTCGTGTGTTAAGATTGTGTGGAGAAGAACCCAAAGATAAAGACAAATATCCCCTGTATAGCCTTAACAGACTGTAGGGGCAAGTGCTGTTAGCGAGCACCTATGAAGGCCGGCACGGCACACGAGGGGGTGGGTGGCCAGCACCACGCCCGACCGCCTTTGCCTCCCCAGTGGCGATGTTTACACACCGCACCAGGTACTCGTTTTGAGGCTGAGTCGACCTAGAGGAGGCCCAGGACCGGTTAAGATAATCGTTAATGGTGTTGGCCGTGAGCGGGAATCGAACCCGGATCGCCAGGTTCGTAGCGCAGCGAGCTAATCGCGACACTACCGGTCCTCAAAAACACACGTACTACTGTCACCAACGCCTAAATGCAGTGCTTTCATTTGGGATCAGGCAACTAGCTATACAAAAACATATTTTACGACTGATTTAGCTACTTACATTCAATCGCATATATTACACGCATCTGCACCAGTTTAGCAAACCACAAGCCCGCTACGAATTTGGCACCAAGTAGCAGATAATGACGTCGAGTTGTGCCTCTCAGAAAATCAGATCACTCGCGCTTCTCATCTTTCAAGGGACACACAGCTGTCTACTAAATATTCTCCATACAGAGCACCCATTGTACAAAAGAAGTGGGGGTGACGAGCTGGCCGTCACGAACACGACCTCCCAACTGAGCTCACTCGTAATCACGCAGCACGCGGCGCATTCCCGGTACGCGCGAGAATATCTTTACAAAAGATTAAAGAGATTGCCGTCAGTTGCCGATTAAACGAGAGCCGTTGATTGCCCACAGACTGCACCGAGTTTGTGATTCCTATGATTCAGTAGAAAATGCCTGAGACTCAAAAAGAGCCAAAATTTAGGCAAAGCAGAGTACAATGTTCCAGGTTGACCTGCATGGCTACCTTTTTGTTGAAATCTTTTAGTTTTTTGTGTCAGACTATTTACAAATGGATGAGAGTTGATCATTTGGAGAAGTCAAGAAGTGCCAAAATACTTTCAGGAATAAAATCAGGGTTTGGAGAAGGAAGTTTAATTGGTCACTATGTACAGTTACAAGAATGTTAAATCCGCAAGAATATTAAATGTGTAACAGCTGGAGACGGGTATCTCGACCTGTCGCATGAGACTCAAAGTCTCAAAGTGGTTTCCCTATGCTGACACGGCCAAGGCAAAAAAGCAACAGCTGATACGCTCTGCTGGACTTCAATCAATTACGAGCTACAACGTTAAGCTTGTGAACCTTGCAACCAAAGAAAAGTTTACGGCATCCTAAAGTGAACATGGATTGCGTTTTTTGGAAACATTTATCCAACTTAAGTTATCCGATTAGCCACAAGTGGGCGAGCTGGTTGTGTGTATATCTGGGTTAGTTGGGCGCCAACACTGATACCTCTATGAAAACCACTCAGTCGGTACTGCTGAGATCTTGATTTAGAGCCTTATTTAAAGAACCCGTTTTTGCAAATTCAAACGTGGATATTGACAATTGACTCGCGGGAAAATCACTTTTGAAAAAGAGTCAACGTAGCTCATCGGATTCCTCCAGTAAACCATCAGATTCTCATGAAGTGACCCAAAAAAGTGGTTCTGTGGCATCACCTTGCAGGGCCATTCTTTAAAAAGAATTCTAATACTGGTAGGAACGAAGTGAACCAGCCTACAATAGATTATATCGTCAGTCCGTCCGTCCGTGTAGCAACATCGCCCCCTACTGCAAACACTTGGCAGGACCCTACAAAAACCTTTAGACTCAGTGACGCTTTCCTGGCTAAACAAGTGTAACATTCCCTTATAATTCCCTGAGATAGCTTTTAATTAAAACATTTAAATGAAACATTTACTCACAGCGGCCTCAAGCCTACAGCTCGGCCTAAAGCCTAGAACTAGGCCTCAAACTCTCCCTTCGTATCGTACCCCCGCGTGTGTGAAAGGGAGTTAATGTTTAACAATGTTACATTCCCTGATGTTTTTAAATAGAAACATTTAAATTTAAAGCTTTTACATAAATAATAAAAACATTTAAATTAAAAATTAACGCACAGCGGCCTAAAGCTTACAGCTAGGCCTAAAGCCTAGAACTAGGCCTCAAACTCTCCCTTCGTATCGTCCGATTAGGTGTAGCAACATCGCCCCCTACTGCAAACACTCAGTGGGGCTTTCCTGGCTAAACAAGTGTAATAATACATTATGTTTATATTCTTTGGTTATTCGTTCCTACCAGCCCACCCCGCAGGATCCTGTTTTTGCTCTGCTAACTAACTGCCTCGAATCGGTTTCTATTGCAATGGAGCACAACTGCAATACGTATGACAAACAGGACCCTGCGGGGTGGGCTGGTAGGAACGAATAACCAAAGAATATAAACATAATGTATTATTACACTTGTTTAGCCAGGAAAGCCCCACCAAGTCTAAAGGTTTTTGTAGGGTCCTGCCAAGTGTTTGCAGTAGGGGGCGATGTTGCTACACCTAATCGGACGATACGAAGGGAGAGTTTGAGGCCTAGTTCTAGGCTTTAGGCCTAGCTGTGAGTGAATGTTTAATTTAAATGTTTTAATTATTTATGTAAAAGCTTTAAATGTAAATGTTTCTATTTAAAAACATCAGGGAATGTAACATTGTTAAACATTAACTCCCTTTCACACACGCAGGGGTACGATACGAAGGGAGAGTTTGAGGCCTAGTTCTAGGCTTTAGGCCTAGCTGTAGGCTTTAGGCCGCTGTGAGTTAATTTTTAATTTAAATGTTTTTATTATTTATGTAAAAGCTTTAAATTTAAATGTTTCTATTTAAAAATATCAGGGAATGTAACATTGTTAAACATTAACTCCCTTTCACACACGCGGGGGTACGATACGAAGGGAGAGTTTGAGGCCTAGTTCTAGGCTTTAGGCCTAGCTGTAGGCTTGAGGCGGCTGTGAGTTAATTTTTAATTTAAATGTTTTAATTAAAAGCTATCTCAGGGAATTATAAGGGAATGTTACTCTTGTTTAGCCAGGAAACTGTCACTGAGTCTAAAGGTTTTTGTAGGGTCCTGCCAAGTGTTTGCAGTAGGGGGCGATGTTGCTACACGGACGGACGGACGGACGATATAATCTATTGTAGGCTGGTTCACTTCGTTCCTACCAGTATAACGCAAGCTTCAAGCAAGACAATTGACGAGTAATAATGCTGCTTGGTATTGATGTAACCACAACAAAATAATTTACACATTTTAGAAGTATCCTGAACATAATCAAAGGAATCCATAACCGACATGGGCCACGTGTATCGACCGTCAAGGAAGGCGGAGCCCATAGCACAGCTTGGTTATCGTCTGTAGAGTGCGGTTCGTTAATCATGGGCACCCATCCAAACACGAGTCTGAAGCTGTAAAGGTCACTTGGGGGCAGGGACGTGCGGTCAGGGGAGGCAGAGCCTCACCTGTCATACTCCAATGAAAATAGCTGTTACGAAAAGTTAAAAAATAGAATAATCAAATTAAATAAATATTAAGATTTTCCACTGATCTGTGTTATAAATGTAATTTCTGTACGATGCCAATCATTTTAAGTCAAAATCGCCAAATTTGTGGAGCTCCGCTGCAAATACAGGAAGACGAGAGGTGAGGCAGCGATGAGCTCAGCCTCCCCTCTTGATTGTGCAACCCCTCAGTAACTGGATTGAGCGCGGGCAATAAAGCGCGTGCCTGTTACTATCTCTGTCACGAATGTAATGTTTGTAGACCCCTTCATTTCATGTCCTTGCCTTCCATACTCCAGGTAACTTATTTCACGTATGTGTATAAATATATTTAGGCTCGCTGGTCTCGTCATGAAACTGCAATGAAAAAGCACCAGGGGAGGCAGCTATCACATCTGCCTCACTGAGGGGGATGTGTCTAACATGCCCCCTCAGTGAGGACACGCCCCCCTCAGTAAGGCCACACTCCCCTCAGTGTGTGAATCTGGTTCTGACACTCGCCAGTGCCTCCCCAGCTATTGACCTCACCGCACGTCACTGCTTGGGGAGGGGGGGGGGTGACGCCACGAGATGCTCACGCGAATGTCACTTCGCTCTGCAGAGTAGCGCCACCGCCTTAGTGTGGACTGGGCTGACACGACTGTGCAACGTCGCCAATGCAATTTCACAGGAAAGCGCGTTCCAGGAGCAATCGGGGAACCCACGTTCTCCCCCCCAGGTGACCGCGTTCGTAAGCTTGAGCTGCCCCTGCAATAATTAGAAGTGCAGAAAAAGCACTTCGGGCTCGCTCACACGCACGGCGAGCATCTCACCAACACACACTTGGGTGGTGCCTGCGTGTCGACGAGCCGGGTGCAGCGAGACCAATCAACCCGGCACCAGCAGCAGCAGCACACTGCCCTGGCCAACACAGCTCGAAGATTTTAGTTTTACCTTGATGGAAACATTTTTTTTACAGTTTTCAGGTAAAGTCCACCAATTATTTTATTTTGCTCGTCTTCCTTTCAGAACAGCAGATAATGGGAGTCTGAGGGAGACAAAACCCGTGTACGCAGTGGTCGTCTCTACTGTCACGTTTTACATCCCTCTCCCTATTACTGATTTTTCTTGGCCCCATGTAGGATTAGGCCCACTCCAGTTTCTATCAAGTTGACATGGAGACTTGAATAAAACTACATTTTTGTAATATAACGAGTATAGTTTGATTTATAAATGAATTGATGAATACAACACGAGCCCAACCGGGACAACGTTTCTTTATGACTCGTTACAAATTTTGGTAATTTATTTAACATGAAAAATAAATAACTTATCTAGCAAGCTTGCTCGCGCGTGCATGTTGTATGTGCTTAACAGGTGCTCGCTAACAACATTGCAATGACAGCCTCTACTCTGTATGGACAACGCATTGTGCGCGTTTGGAGGGGCTTGTGCACTGTGCTATAATCCCAGCCGTAGAACCTCGATTTGTGACAGTTGTGCACAAAACATCAGTGGTCACTTGACATCTAAATCCACCACCGTGGGTCTCCTCTACGTGGACTCAGCCTCAAAAATTAATAGCAGATGCACCAGCTGAAAACATCAGCAATGGACAGACAACTGTGGTCCCATCACCCCCAGAGTAACAACGTTGCCGTCTGACAACACTCACCCCATCAGGAATAGCGAAGGCTATGAACCTTTGAAGGTTGTAGATCGGTTCTGTAAGTTTGCGGGTGTGGGTTAAATTAGCTCCGATCCCCCCCCCCCCCACCATGCTGAACACATACAACTGCCAAGCACTTTCAGATGTAACTGCATCTAAACTCTGCACACCGTATCTTAACAACTGAAATGACCAGGCAGTGTTTTGAAGGACAGACGTGGCGTGACCATGTGTTGTACATACAGGGGAAGCAAAGTGTACATCACAAACGATGGCAGGAATGCCAATCATGTCTAAGGCACACTTGTCTTTACATCCCTCACACAATTATATGGTATACGGGTAACATGTTACGTATATTAATAGAAGCTAGAAATAACAAATGCTCTGCTATATTTGTTTCAACTCACTTGCTCCTGCAACACTCAAGCCATTGAAATGATAAAATACTCAAATATTTCACCAATTTAAGACCATCAACGCTACGGCATGAAGGGAAATTTACAAGCGGGCATAATTAACTCGCTTGCAATTACATTACCGTACATGTTGAATTGTTATCACCACCCAAATACCGACTGTGCTGTCAATGTCGTTAAGCAGCGGAGCGAGGAAACGTCCAGGAAAGAACTCCCACAGGTGGCGGAGCCACACGCCGCCACATCAGTGAAGTCCCAGACACCACAGAACCACTTCGACGAGTCACTTGAAATAACATCTACACTGGACGGCTTCAGTGGAAATCTACCTCGAGTGAATACACGGGTTCTTCCAGGGTTAGTCCATTTGGTTTTTATACTTTATCCCTCAAAGCTGGGCCACATTAAGTTAACACCTTTCCCGTTCCAAGATGACTGCAAGTTGCAGGGTTGGGGGGGGGGGTCCCTGGCCACCGTTGAATCTCGGAACGCGCAAGCGACTGAGCGTTAACTTTACTTTTAGAGGCGTAGTAGCGCCATTGTTTTGAAAGATATTGCACTCACCGCAGAGAACCGATACAACACGACTGCATTCTACAATAGCTGCCGCCAAACTGTGCCACACGCCCTCCTGCATGGCGTTGCGGGAACCTCGGTACCGATAAAGTTATTTTGTCGTACACGTACGTCATCGGAACAGAATCGGAAGAGAAACTTATGACGTGCATGTATGTCATCGGAACGGGAAAGGGTTAAAAACCAAACCCCTCTGAAATTTTTAATCCATTTTTATTCATCATGGCTGGCTACCTAGATTCATACCCAGGATTTCCAAAGTGGTGGCTCGGTGTTCTAACATGGCCATTATGAGTCTCGTGATCCACATCAGCTGATCTTAAAATGCGAGTGGTTGCCAATGACAACAAGGAGGCACTCTGCGTCTTGAAAGCACGAGTTTCCTTGTGTGGAGGCTGGGGTTTTCAGGGCCCGGCAAGTGGAATCGTGTGGACCCGTGACTGTGTTCCATCCCAGTCAGAGATGACGCCATTGTAAACCTTTGAAGAACTAGGGGAGGTTCTTGACTCGTCAAAAACTCAGCTCACAAACTGCGTCCGTCTTCACACTTTTGGGTTTGAAATTATGCTTCTCCATGGAGTGAACCGACTATGAGGGTGGTTCAGTATTCACCCACTTTTAGTTCTGGAAAACTTTGAAAGCAAAATGAAGTGGCAATAGCCCTCTTCTCAACGTATCCCCCATGCTAAACATGCACATCTCCCATCGGTGCCTTGATGCCTTAATTTCAGAAGCATATTATTCTTAAATAACAGGTTACACACGGCCATTCTCAATTGTGACCTGACAGAGACATTTGTCCAATCAGCTGAGTTCAGTGTTAATTTAGAGGCTAATTTATCTCGTTTTGTCTGGCTGTGATTGAGGTTTATTACGATCAAAAGGTAGCGAGATCTAATCCAGGTCGGGGTCAAAATAAATAATCTCCCCTCAGGCACGGATACAATGAGTATTGCTCTGTGGCAAGTCATCAGTGACTGTTCTTGGAACAGACTGGTCTTTGGCAGACAAATGCACGGAAGCCAGGAGTTTTAATACGGAGTAAAAACATCTTTTATTTTCAAACACACTGACTTCATCTATCCCATTTGGCATGAACATATAATGTGAATGTGCACTTACTTTACTCAACCAGGTGGTGCAGTGGTCAGGGGGCTAACAATCAGAAAATATCAATTAAAATGTCACTCGGTAAGCAACTCGGCATTTGTGCGCCTCCCATAACCAATAAAATCAGAACCACTGTGACAAAAACGACAGTAGTTGTGTTACAGAAGTTTGGCTCCCATCAGAAACCACGGTGGCAAAATGACAATAATTGTGGTAGGGAAGCCTGGCTCCCATCAGAACCACTGTGGCGAAATGACCGTAGTTGTGTTACGGAAGCCTGGCTCCCTTCAGAACCACTGATACAAACGACAGTAGTTGTGTTACGGAAACCTGGCTCCCTTCAGAACCACTGTGATACAAACGACAGTAGTTGTGGTACAGAAGCCTGGCTCCCAGTATAGGAAATAATTTCCATGAGTGGCTAAGAACCACCAACTGACTGAAAAAAGAGATGCTTTGTCTTTTCTCTAAGCACTGCACTGACTAGCTACCCAAATTAAAACTGAAGCCAAATATATACATAAATAAAGAAACATTACAATAATGAACATGACTGAACAGTGACCGGACACAATATACAAAGCCGCGTCTGTGCACGCTGCCTCCTCGGCTACCGAGAGTAAAACCGGCACCCTCTCCCCCTACCCCCGTTTTCCCACGTCACACTCCCCCCCACCCCCCCACCTCTCGTTTGGTCGATTTCGGGCTCTCGATCAATGAGGCCTCGTGGAAAAAAACTCGTGCCTCTCAGCCCCACCTTCCAGCGTCCACGCAGCTGGCAGTGTCGCACACGAAAGCGTCGGGGAGGCCCGTGTATCAGAGACACGGTGACTCGAAGCTCCACGAGCCCTCGCCACCACCGCCGCTGCTGCTGCTGCCGCTGCTGTCGATGCCACTGCTGCTGCACTGAGCCCATGGGCGGCATCAAAGCACACGCCCCTTGGGCCTCCCTCATCCCTCCGTCCCTCTGTTCCCCCGCTGCCGAACCCGGTCACTTGACACAAACGCACCGCACGCAGCTCCAAATCCCGCCCTACCACTCGGCGTCTCCGACCGCTTTGGAGAAAACGTAATCCTTGCCGTTGAGGTTCATGATGCCATCCTTGAGGTGGAACTTCCATCGGTTTTTGCTTCTGTGAATCTGGTGGGAGGGAGCGAGACGGAGACATAAACGGAGAGAGATTGAGGGAACAGACAGAGAGATATAAACAGACGTGTAAATGTCTCTTGCTAAAACTGATAAAAGCACAAATAGGATGTAAAATAACTTTATTTACATGCATACTCTTTGGTTCTTTCGGTATTTACATCCCTTAATCCACTGGTGATTGAATCAAAATAAGAATATTTATTCAGACTGGACGAATCCGATGAGCAAAGAAGCTCTTTTTTACACACGTCCAGCAAGTTGAAGGCCTCCCCTTGCCACACTGGCTGCGCGTATTTTTCATAACCCCACTTCACCACGCTGGTCGGTGCAGATTTAAAGGAGTGCGTGCCCAAGACTGGTTCAGATCTCACTCAGATCACCAGGTTCTTAGTACAGTGCGATAACCACTATGCCACCCCAAACTATATATAATTGGTGAACAAAATGGTAATATTTATAGAGGACCTGATTCATCCTTCACATCATGGGTGGGGAGCCCAGGATCCTAAGCCGCGGACCTTGGCGGTGCCGGCTCAGTGGCACCGCCATGCTGACATGGGGGCATCAGCCCCCCACGATCCTCTCCCCCCCGGCCAAGTCGCCCGACCACGCTTCAGCAGCCCACCTTGTCGTACTGACACACCACCACGTTGTCGGTGTCGAAGAGGTCCGAGGGGTCGTCCTCGCTCACGTCGTCCTCCGAGTTCAAGGGGTCCTGATCGGTGGTGGGTGGGGAGAGGGGGGGGGCACATGGAGGCTCCCGTGAGGATTTCACTCGTTTAACCCAGAGCCTCGCAGCCCCAACGTGCAAGCTGTCCCCCACGACAGAGGCGCTCTCTGCTTGTGTGGGCTGCTGCAGCGCCGCCTGTAGCTGTGGTCGGTGCGCTCATGCCGACACGGGCTCAAAGCGGGGGCTCCTACAGGCCCACCACCCCCGTAAGTCCGCAAGCATGCCACTTACAGTTCTGCCCCACAATGGTGGCATCCCAACCAGCAGTAGCACCCCCCACCATAGATCTACATCCATCCCTACGCCTCTCATTCCACAGCTCTGCCACCCGATAGCATTGCCACCCATAGTACGCTGCCCCCATTAGTACTGCCCTTATCCCCATGACAGTACCCTGGAGTACTGCCTCCAACATTTGCACCGCCCTTGGCGTCTCCACTCATAACGTGCAACTATCTTTAGTCGTCCACCACATGGTACTGGCCTCCTTAGTACCATCCTATTAGTTGAACATCTATAGTACATCCAATCATACTACTGTCTGTCATTGTACCACCAACAATAATACCATCCTCCAAAGTACATCCCTCAGAGTGCTGATCCCCATAGTGTTAACCCCATCCTATATTCCCTCAGTACCTACTCCAAAAGTAGTCTCCCACAAAGGACACCGGCTCCTCGTCCCACCCAACATGGAGAATCCCCTCATTAAACTGATAGTACCGTCTCCGATAGTACCACCCCTCATTGGACTGCATAGCCCAGTACTGCCCCTGATATAACCTTTCCATACAGTATCCCTCCCTACAGCAATACCTCAACAGTACATCCTCTCAGCATCCGCCTGAGCAGCACTGTTTCACAGCATCAGCCCGCATAGCACCATCCCATCGTACACCGGCCCACTGCTGCCCCTAATAGCCCCAACACCATTCTGCTTCCACCCTAAATCCAACCTCAACATCAGCCATGATCTATCCACCGCTGGATGAAAATTCTTCCCAAGCCGCCACCATCTCTCCCGATCCTTGCCCCATTGTGCCAGGCCTCTCTAGATGATGAAGAGGTATCCGCCTCAGTAGAAACGTACAAAGTCACGGTAACGAGATGTTAACTATCTCGCCCGATATACAGGAGGTCGTGGGTTCGATCCTGACCCTAACACTTGCTGTATATTTGGAATTTGCATGTTTCTCCCCCGTGGTCACCACGTTAGCCCTCCCCGGGGGTGGCCGCACCTCCTCGACGGCGTCGTCCTCGTCCCCAAGCTCGTCGTCCTTGTCCTTGTCGTCGTCGTTGGCGTCATCCTCGTCCTCGTCCGACGACGTGTCCCCGGCGCCATCCACCTGGATGACGAGCGGTGACGGCCCCGTCGACCCCGAGCCCCCACTCGTCGTCGCAGCCTCGGGGCGGAGGTCACACAACAGGTCACGTGGGGGTCCTCGGGTGAAGGTGTCACCATGCCCAAAACCACCGATACCATCCCACGTCTCATTGCCAACACATTTCCGCCCCCTCCCTTCTAGATCTCACAGCTGCTGCACAGTCGACGAACTACCTCTAAGCACTGCGTTGACAGTCTCCCACCGTCTGTTCTCAGGTCTTCCCCTTGGTCGCCGGACTCGTGGAGACCACTCCAGTGCCCGTCTCGGCAATTGGCCTCGCCCCCCATCCTGCAAACACGGCTAAGCCAGTGTGCACATTCACGTCTCATCACATCTACAACACCTGCCACGTTCTCTTCCGCACTTATTTTGTTGCTCATCCTGCTTTTCCATGGAATTCATTCTGTCCGTCACAAAGACTTTTGGGGCAAGTGCTGTTAGTGAGCACCTATGAAGGCCAGCATCGCGCCATGCTCTCTTTTCCTCCCCAGTAGCAATCTTTACACATCATGTCATGTACTCATTTAGGGCCGAGTCGACCTAGGGGAGGCCCAAAACCAATTCAGATAATCACTGGTGTTGGCCCGTGAGCGGGAATTTAACTCTGGTCACCAGGTTCGTAGCGCAACGCACCAACCGTTGCACTACCGCTCCCCACCACTGTCCGTTACGGACAGTGACACTCAAACGCCACCAACTTCATCTCGAGCCGCTTCGGGTCACGGGGTCGCAGCAGCCGTGGGGGTCATGGCGGGGGGGTAGCAGAGGTAGCGGGGTTGCTGGGACTCACCGAGGCGGTTGAGGAGGGCGGCTTTCCCAGCACCACCTGGTGCTGTGGTGCGGCGTGCTGCAGCACCACGCCCGAGGGAAGCGTCCCCGTGCCCAGCTGGGTCAGCACCTGCACGATAAGTTTTAGTTCAGCACCCTGCACAAACCCCAGGTCCACAATCCCGTGAGCCTCACTTAATAAAAATGATGAAGAAAATGTTACCTTCCTATTTATGGAGCTGCATAAATTAGATGCCCGTACATGTATGTGTGCGTGTGTACGCATGTGTGTGTATATATATGCAGAAATTTCCCCCACAGTCTGTTAAGGCTATACGGCGGATCTTTTGTCTTTGTAGATATGCAAACATGTAGTGAGGGGGGAAGTAGTGATGTGGTTAACGCGCTGCGCTGCGAATCCGGTTCACCAGTTTGATTCTCACTCACGGCCAACACTAGTGACGATAATTTGAACCGGTCCTGGGCCTCCCCTAGGGCGATTCAGCCTTAAATGAGTACCTGGTGTGGTGTGTAAACATCGCCGCTGAGAAGACAAAGACGGTCGGGCGTGGTACTGGTCACCCACCCCCTCGTGTACTTTACTGGCCTCCCTAGGTGCTCACTGACAGCTCTTGCCACAACAGTATGTTAATACTATACGGGGGATCTTTATCTTTGTATATATGCAAGTTTATGTGAGTGATAGTGTAGTGTAGTGATTAAAGCACTGTGCTGTTAACCCAGCGACCGGAGATCGATTCCCGCTCACAGCCAATATAAGTGACCAATACCTGAAATGTTCCTGTGCGTCCCCTAGATCAACCCGGCCTTAAAACAAGCACCTGGTGCGGTGTGTAAACATCACCCCCAGGGAGACAGCCAGAACTCTATCCGCTTCTGGCAACATCTGTCCTCTCGCAGGTTGCACCATAGGCTGCCCTCAAGAGTTCCTCGCCAACAGCATTTGCCCCAACAGCCTGTGTGGGCTACACGGGGTGGGGGGGGGAGGCCCTTAGTTGTACATGTCTGTGTGTACGCAGACCACCGGCGCCGCCGCTGCCGCCCTCACGTGTTGCGTGCCCTGGCCCTGCTGGATGACCGTGCCCTGGCTGGCCGCCCCGCCAGGCTGGCCGACGGTGCCACTCGCCCCGGCCTGGCTCGTCTGCACCAGCAGCTGCTGCCCTCCAACTGACGCCAGCATGGTGGTCGGCTGCTGCAGGATGATCTGCTGGCCCTGCGGCGTCACCATCACGTGCTTGTATGTCTGGATCATTTGGCCTGCACAAGCACGGACCCAAATCAGAATCAATCGGAATATTTATTTATCCTGGAGGAATCCAATGAGCTATAAAGTTCTTGTTTTTACAGATGTCCAGTAGGGGTGGGTAAGAATGTTACAACAGCAAACAGTATAAAAAAATGATAGTCGTGCAAAGTACAGGAAAGGCAAACAAATCACCCAAAAACATACAAACAAAACAAAACCACCCCTACCCTACCAGGCAAAGCCCACTGAGGTATTCGCTTATTTCTCAGAAGCAACCTGACCACAAATGATATCTCAACCAAGTGGCTTATCATCTGGAAATTTATAGTAATCTAAATAATCTTCATGCATGTTTATACTCGGGATGGTAATGTGCGTATATGTGGGCAGGTGTGTCCCTGCGTCTGTGCATATGCATCTATGTGCATGCGCACACGCGCTCGTGTGTGTGTGTGTCCGTGTCTTACCGGGCAGTCCCCCTGTAATCTGGTAAGGCGGAACCACGCCCTGCGGCAGAGCCATGGTTGCTGCTGTTGCGGATGCCGTCTGTATCACATCAATATAAAAATCACCATCAACATCACGTGTTGCCCTGCCACTTAGTGGCAAATGACGGTTGTTATTGTTGAATATGGTCGACTCGGCATCGAATGAGTGCCTGATGCTGTGTAAACATCGCCAGTCGAGAGACTAAGGTGGTCAAAAGTGATTTTGGCCACCCACCCCCTCGTGTGCCGTGTCGGCCTTCATAGGTACTGGATAACCGCACTTGCCCTGACAACCTGTGCAGGCTATACAAGAGACATTTGTCTTCGTATGCATGTGGTCTCACTGCTCACCATGTTCGTTGTTGAGATGTGCTGAATGGAGCGTCCATCTTGTACCACGATCTGAGCTGCAGCGGCGACGAGAGGAGATAGGGAGGCACACGCCCATCTTCAGTCAGTACGGTATCTCTCCGAGGGACAGGCTACAGACAGGCTTGAGACAGGCAGCTTTTACAGTCAGTAAAGCTCGCCAAAAAAAGTAAAAGTGAATTCCTATATTGAGGTGGAGATCATCTCCTGTTTGCAGCCCTGAGCCAGTGGTAAAAATTCCACATTCATCTGGTGGGAATAAGCCACACCATAAATTAACCACTAACTTCCTCACATAGTGGTACTCATTTTTAGCAACAATAGAGGCATTATGGGCTGAGTTAACACCCAACCAAAATTTGACCAGTCCCCGCTCGATAAGCGAACATTTTGCTCGCTTGGCGAACAAATGGGTCTAAATTAATCTTGCTCATGATAGACACTGGGGAAAACATAGCTACTTGACGGTGCTCCACTAGACACCAAGCACCACACAGTGTACATCAACTGTTGTGCGGTGGTCGTGTGCTGCACGCAGTGTGCATCCATCCTGTGGCTTGTGTAGAGTGCGTGGCATAGCGGTGGTGTGTGCACTGTAGTGTGGTGTGTTGTGGGGAGCAGTGGCACAGTGGTTAGCACAATGTGCTACAAAACCTGGCAACCCGAGTTCGATTCCCAGCCACGGCTATTATCTGCGACAATTGATATTTGAAACAGTCCAAGGCATGCCCTAGGTCATGAGTACTTGGTGCTGGGGACATCTGCTGACCAGACCACCACCTGGTGTGCCATTCCAGCCTGAATAGGCATTCACAAACAGCACTTGACCCAGTAGTCTGAATCGGGGATCTTTCATTTTTTGTATATAGCATGTAGAAATTAGGGTGTAGCATAATGGTAATGTGCATGTGGATAGTTTTCAGTATGTGTGCAACATGTGGTACATTTGTAGTGTATAGTGTTCAGTATTTACGTGCAGTACATGTGTACTACACTGGTAGTGTGTATAGTATGCAGTATGTGTAGTATGTAGTGTGTGATACACTATGCATGTGTATAATATTCAGTGTGTGTGTAGTACATAGTGTGTGTGTGGAGTGTGTCGTGTAGTAGACTGGTAGTGGCATGTCTAGTGAGCGTGGACATTGTGCAGTCCTAGGTGGTTTCCTAGCTATGCCACACCTGACAGGCTTTCTTCGTTTCAGACACTACAACTTTACCCACTGATAACCCTAGCGGTGCCACTGACTGCAAGCATCGAGCAGTAACACTGAACCTTATGGATCTTTAGTTCAGCGCTGCGTTATCGCGACACATGATGCATACATGTACAGCTTATACACATTTACATGCAGTGGGTGCCTATGTATAAATACTCATTTATGTATAGATTCTAAATATGAAATAAAAAATACTATTATCAGAGTATGTTTGTTTGCATGTTTTTCCACAAGTATGTGTGGTTAATGCACACCTGATGCCTTGTAATAGCTATCTATTTGGTGTTCAAACATCTTAACACCTCCTGTTTTATTGCTAGAAAGGGTGAAGCATATTAAAAAAAATTCATAACTTTGATAGTGGCAAAAAGGTCCCATAGATGAACAAAAATACTGATAACACCATAATATAAGTCAAATAGTCGTATGTAACACAAGATCAGAAATGTGTGAAGTAGGGCGGCAGGGTGGCAGCGGAGTGGTAACTCTCGGAGTGGTAACTCTCACGCCTCACAGCAAGAAGGGCCAGGGGTCGATTCACGACTTGGGCATATTGCTGTGTTGTTGTTATTATGTTCTCTGATTGTGCATGAGTTTCCTCAGGGTTATCTGGTTTGCTCTCTTTGCAAACTCTGCCCCCCACCCACCCCCACAGAATATAAATGGCCCGAGTCAAAACATCCCAATGCTGAAAGATTACCTTGAAAAGGACTCGATTAGGATCATACAGCAGCAACATCACCCCCTACTCTGAAAACTTGGCAGGGCTCTCTCGACAGATAGTCTTGAGGCTTCAGTGAAGCCTTCCTGGGTAAACGAGCGTCGTCATAATAACTACAAGTCGTGTGCAGTAAGTGCAGCATACTGCTGCGGTGCATGTGCATTACCTCCAGCTGGGATGTTTGGGATCTGGATGACGTGGGGTTGTTTCTGCAGGGCCATGCCCTTCCCCTGCTGACCCTGGGCCGCCTGCAGCAGCAGCTGCTGCTCCTCCGAGTGGAAGCCGTCCACCGTCTTCGCCTGCTGCAGTTTGCTCTCCCAGATCTGCGCACACAAAGGTCTTCTTGAGCAAATTGGAAACAAGTAACAAAATGTGCAGTGGACGCCTACTACGGGGCTATCTACCCACGGATCACGATGATGATGGGGACTGTCAGGAGCCTCAGCTACGGGAGGCCAGGTTCAGATACCAATTGGCACAGGTACTGTGAATCTAGTCATAAATCAAGCGAATCATAACATAGAATGCAAACTTCTATAAAACCACTCCCTACACACAAAGATCCCCGACTAAGCCTTAGCAGACCGCAAGGGAAAGTGGTTAGCGAACGCCTATGAAGGTCGGCACGGCACACGACGGGGTGCATGGCCAACACCACACCTGGCCGCCTTTGTCTCCCCAGTGCTGAGGTTTATACTCTGCACTAGGTACTCATTTACAGCTAAGTCTACCTAGGGGACGCCAGGACCGGTTCAGATAATTGTCACTGGTGTTGGTTGTCAGCGGGAATCGAACTTGGGTTGCCAGGTTCATAGCGCAGCACGATAACCGCTGCACCACTGCTCCCCACAAGTACGAAAACAAATACACATATAAATGCAGTGAATGCGTAGAAACCTTCTTTCGTATGGTCAAGCCAGATGTTATTCTAGTACACTTATGTGTCTACACATAAGTGTACTAGAATAACATGTACACACATACGCATGCACATACAAAAATACAACTCCCATTTCGTTTTATAGACTGGAGGGACAAGTAATATTAACAAGCATCTTTTAGGGCCTAAAAACAAGACGAGTTTATTTTGTTTCACGAGGTGAAACTCGTTAAGAAACCAGGATAGTCTCATTTTCAAGATTGCCCTGGGTCACTAAAGTGATGAGAGGAAATGAAAAATCAGCACAATAACAAAAATAACTGGACCACATGAGGATTGCAAAGACTGCAAACTAATTATCTACAGTGCAAATGGGCTCGGTGCAGATTACCTCCAGATTGAACACAGCAAAACTTACACAACTACGCGACAGAAACAGGTATAGCTTGACTATAGTACATATATTTAAACAAAGAGGACATGTATCAAATGCAATTGCAAGTGAGGTTATAAAGAATTGACAGTTTAGCATCAAATTTTGATTAAGATAGTTTAAGTTAGGAGAGGAACCAAGGATATATTTAAAGCGATGTTCCGTGTTCCAACGGCAGATTTTACTCCTCGATTCATTTCCGGAATCATTTCTTAGTGGACGGTGGCATCAAAAGATTACGACTCGTGGTGTCACCATATGTTCAAATGGGAAAGCGGCTGCTGAATCTAAGGAAACTTCTGATGGAGAGAATCTGCAGCTCACTCAAGGGCAACAGCGACATCGTCAGACTGTGTTATGAGGACCGATGTGTTGTTATGCTGCACCGGTGTGTTGTCATGCTGCACCGGTCTGTTGTCATGCTGCACCAGTGTGTTGTTATACTGCACCGGTGTACCGCCAATACGCCCAAATGATGTATTACACTTCATTTGTAATTCACACGTGAGTGCCTGGTGACTGCAATGTGTCATGTGAGTGGTGGGTGTCTGGTGAGTGTCGTACGATTAGTGGGTATGGCCAGCGAGGAAGGTTCACCCCATCCATAGGACAGGCTGCCCCCTAGTGTTGTTAGAAATGTGCCGAAGTGAAAGATAGTGAGGCGACTAAGCTTATGGGAGCCATAAGCCACAGTTTAACATCGACTTATCTATCCCCTGTCCACAGTCCCCACTAGGAGCCTGTGGGTGACGAGGGCAGTGGAGCACCTGTTTGAGCTCCTGCAGCACCTGCTCCTCCACTCCCTCGTCTAGAAACACCTCCCGAACGTTGTTAATCACGTCCTCCATCACCGAGCGGTACAGCTTGGGCTGAGGACAAACACGCACACAAAAGATCAAAGACAAAGAACCCCCGTATAGCCTTCACCGACTGTTGGGGAAAGTGCTATTAACGTGCACGTATAAAGGCCGGTACGGTACACGGGGTGGGTGGCCAACACCACGCCCGACCGCCTTTGTCTGCCCAGTGGCGATATTTTTAAATACCGCACCAGGTACTCATTTGAGGTTGAGTCAACCCAGGAGCGGCCCAGGGAAGGTTTAGATCATCTTCACTGGTATTGGCCGTGAGCGGGAATCGAACTCTGGTCGCTGGGTTCGTAACGCAGTGCGCTAACCACTACACTACGCTACACTACATAAACGGATATACACACATCAGTAGCAAATCCAAACAAGGTGGGCAAGGGTCCTAACATTTCAAGCTTATTAAATAGAGCCCTACATCACTCTTATTAATAAAACATTCAACGTATTTTCTTTGGGAAATATAAATGAAATACCAATTTTCCCTCATCACCAAGGAATTTTCTACATCTGCTTATGAGACTAATGAACAGTTATACAAACACAATTCCACACCATTATTGTACACATAACAACATTCACCACTAAGTGACGGTGACGTCACAACGGCACTTATACCATGCCACGTGCACTCCAACGCCACGTGCAGTGTCGAAGGCTAGCTGACAGAGGTCACGGGACAGACCCAGGTGCCATGTGTCAGGATCTTTCAACGATTTGTGAGCTCCTCACACAATCCAGCCTGACGGATCATAGGCACGCAAACCTGAAAATTTAAAACCGGCGCAAAGTCTATTCGAGGGGTCCACGTTTTGCAAGCAAAGAGAAGGGAGGGCATGACTGTGACCGAGAAGATTCGGGGCTTTGTGTGGAGCGACAGACCAGGTAGCTTCCACACAGCATTATGCAGCTGACGAAAAGATGTCTCTCTGGAGATTCGGAGTGGGACCTCTGCTGCCAAACCAGAGTTGTTCCTAAGCACACTACCCAGGTACGGAAACGTCTACACTGTACACACAAATACAAAGATTCCCCATATAGCCTTAACAGACTTGTTGGGGCAAGTGCTATTAGTGAGCACCTATGAAGGCTGGAACGGCACACGAGGGGGTGGGTGGCCAACACCACGCCCGGTCGCCTTTGTCTCCCCAGCGGCGATGTTTATACACCGCACCAGGTACTCATTTGAGACTGAGTCGACCTACGGGAGGGCCCAGGACCAGTTCAGGTAATTGTCACTGGTGTTGGCCGTGAGCGGGAGTCGAACTCGGGTCGCAGGGTTCGTATTAACATGAACAGACTATTGGTGGTAAGTTCTGCTGACAAGCACTTATCAACATTGGTATAGCACACAAGGGAGTGGTAGAGTCAGCAACACACTTTTGACTGACCACATTTGTCATGCCAATGATAATATTCACACTGCAGCATGTTGTCACTTTAGCCTCAGTACATCTATGGTTAAGGCAGGCCTGATTTAGGTAATTTCCACCAGCAAGATGATTGTTTTTTAATGTTCTATCATTCGTGAGAATTTCATCTCAAAACGCATTCGTAGAATGTAAACATGTACAGTTTTGCACGCAGGCACGGGAAACCAGACGAGGAGTAAGGCAGCCGGGACCAGCGCCAACAATCGCCAAAGTTCTGTCGTCCTATATTTTGGGATGTTTGGCCAACTCCATTAATGAGTTAAAACATCTGGGAGGAAACCAGAGTACCGAGGGAAAACACACGATTGCGAAGGGAGGGGGGTAACACTCAATCCACGTACAGACAGAATACGAATGGAAATAAAACCACGTGCAGCATTACCATATCCAGGAAAAGCCAGATGGGAACCTCGGTACCCTTGAGGGCAGGGACTTTCACGAATTTGTGTTATCCACCCACCCTTCCCTCCAAAGAGCTGGATGACAGGCATGTAAACACAGCCACGAGCACAGGAATCGAGTTAGTGCCAGGGATGGAACCCGGATTACGAGGATCATAGCGCAACAGCACCACTGCTCCCCCATTCACATGCCCCACAGCCGCACAGCAAGCGTGACGTGCACGCAGCCGAGTCTCATCCGCACTTGACGTCATTCCGTGGGCCACAAGTCAGAGCGACTTGCATTGTAGAGGACACGGCACCCGGTGCATAGTGGGACCTCTAGACACAATGTGAATGGACTCGAGGTGTGTCATGTTGGCTTGCATGAAGCGGAGAGCTATGATTTGAGAGATAAAGCATCACTGCTGCCCAGACAAAACAAGTTATTTCTCATGCTTCATCAGCACGAGGCTCATTGCAGCTGAGTCAGAGCCACTAACTCATGGCTGTGTCTGAGGGCACCCTGAAGCACTATTCTTGCCCAATTAACACCACAGTGAAACTAAAATGGTGCTCCGGTTTGGTTTAACAATTTCAGCCCAATCACAAATAATAGCACAAAATATGTAAATTACGAAGCAAAATACAGACCCTTTTACAACACAATGCATTCCTGGAAACCCCGTCAAAAATCTTCGTAAATCTTACCCGATTTTCCCAGAAAGTAGAAGCATTAAACATATCACTTGCCGGCCGGTGTTTTCCTTTTATCAGCTATATTTAACAGGGTTTAATAGGTATCAGCTATATTTAACAGGGTTTAATAGGTATCAGCTATATTTAACAGGGTTTAATAGGTATCAGCTATATTTAACAGGGTTTAATAGGTATCAGCTATATTTAACAGGGTTTAATAGGTATCAGCTATATTTAACAGGGTTTAATAGGTATCAGCTATATTTAACAGGGTTTAATAGGTATCAGCTATATTTAACAGGGTTTAATAGGTATCAGCTATATTTAACAGGGTTTAATAGGTATCAGCTATATTTAACAGGGTTTAATAGGTATCAGCTATATTTAACAGGGTTTAATAGGTATCAGCTATATTTAACAGGGTTTAATAGGTATCAGCTATATTTAACAGGGTTTAATAGGTATCAGCTATATTTAACAGGGTTTAATAGGTATCAGCTATATTTAACAGGGTTTAATAGGTATCAGCTATATTTAACAGGGTTTAAAGGTATCAGCTATATTTAACAGGGTTTAATAGGTATCAGCTATATTTAACAGGGTTTAATAGGTATCAGCTATATTTAACAGGGTTTAATAGGTATCAGCTATATTTAACAGGATTTAATAGGTATCAGCTATATTTAACAGGGTTTAATAGGTAAAATTTCACAAAAACACTTGTGAATAACAAAAGCTCCATGCCAAGTCACATCGGAAACCAGGCTGCCTCTGTTCAAATGTTTGGAGCCATGTGCGAAAATGTGTCGTAAATCAAGTGTCTGCATCGTAAATCTATCCATAGTGGTATTACACAAACGTCGTAAATATAGATAATCGCAAACAGAAAATCGCGTGTAATTTGGATATTGTGAGGATATTTAAGCAAAATCTTGTTGATTTTTTTTTCAAATGGAGCTAAAATATATGCAAATAATTTTCTTAAACTACAGCTTTCCCCAGTAAAAGAAGGGCTCGGGAAAATTGCACGGCTGGTTAGAATTATAAAATAATAGCGAATGTCCCTTGACAAAATGTACACAATATAATGCCAATCCCATGGGTGGCTGTAATGCCATACAGGCAGTAACACCTCATGTCATGACATCACAGCATGTCACCATAGAACCACTTCGGTCGGAGTCACTTCAGCACGTCGCTATCCACCAGACTGCCTCTGAAAGCTACATATATAGAAACATTGTATAATAATATAATCCTTCACAAACTGGGATAGACCAAATTATGAAGGGAAAAAATCTTAAATCACATTAAGATCCAATGTTAGCCACCTGGTTGTAACCATCAAATTAAATATAAATATGTAAACCTGGTTGAATTGGATTGTGTGAGTGATTGGGCTTAAGTTTGACAGGCAGATTTTTTTTTTTATAACCAGGTAAGAGTTCAGAGTCCATGGTTGATGTCATTTGCTTATACACACATCTGCAAAATTAGCTTAGTGGCTCTTATTTTACCATAATGAGCTTCTAGTGTCCGCCTGCCACCTCATTGTTTCACCGACAGTAGCACCAGTCTATAAACTGCAAATGAAAGCACAGCATGTGCAGTGCAGTGCAGAGAACACTCAAGAGACTGCGTTAAAATCAATGTCTGGCACCTGTTAAAAGTGGAGCGTTCCACTACATCAAGGGAGGGGTGGTACACACAACTTTGTTCCATAAGGATGACCTTAGCATCAGCTTTGGCATAGTTTAACACGTAGGCTTAAACCATTTTTTTAATGGGGATGTTTCTTTCAGTCCTTATAAGAGGAAAATCCCAAAATAAATGCACATTACTTGCGTAAATATCACGAACAACTTAAACACGTCTTCATGGTCAAACAAGTATGCATATTACTCATCTTTCATTGGTGCTCTTCAGCCAATGAGAATAATGTCATTGTCACATTCCTGAAAAGTGCAGCCACTGGAAGAGTACGACGCTCCAGCCTGGTTCGTGAGCTGGGACACAACACTGCTAGATGCACAGTTAAATACAGTAAATGCAATGTGCATCATAACTGGAACAAGGAAACCTACACCAATCCCATGGCTCCCTGTTCTCGCAAACATTTTGCCACCAAACATCCGAAGAGAGATGCAAACTGCAAGGGAGATTACATGTTTTCTTGACAACCTACTCATCAACCAAGAACTCAACAATGGACATCACCACCTCCGACTCAAGTCCCGATTCCCCTTTCTGGGATCCCGCTGTCACCATCCTAGAATCTCACCCAGATCTGGAAAACTACCGGCGAACAGTGGAACAAATGCGCACATCCAGAATAAACCTCATTCGAGACCCTAACATCACATCTCCTGGCTTTGACATTTCTTAAAGACACCGATGTAACAGCATCAGAACATCAACAGGCCAATGGGCACATCTCCTTCATGAATGGAAAGTTAACAAGCTGCAGTGAAATTGTGGCCATACAAGCCCAACTATGGATCACATCGTAATCCTCCGTACTCTTCTGTGCTCCTTCAATTGAATATGTAATGCAAGCGTAAACGGCTTCGCGGATATGACGTAACAGGGGGGAGGAGTTGGGTCACGTGGGGGGAGAGGAGAGCTTTTAAGGGCAGGAACCGGAAGGGCTGGAGGAAAGTGTGGGATAAAGACAGGAGGAGGCCACGCAGGGCAGGAGGTGGAAAG